GCCCGTAGCTGCATGTCTCGAGGAAAATATTATCTTGTAATTAACTGCTCTAGTAAATTTGATAATAGCACTTCAAATGCAACGGTGCTTAACGAGCTGTCAAGAGTTAAGTGATATAATGCTTGTGTTGAATAGGTATTCGAAATCTACGGGACAGAAAGAACAGGAAAAAGACAGCAAGTGCTTCAAAGAACGAACGAACCTTGCGACAAAAGTCATCAAGAGCGAACAAAAAACGATCTGCTGCTGTAAATGCTGGTTTAAGACTTGGTAAGTGAGAAATCGTTTTAAATATTTTAAATTGATGAAAGAACGAATAACATAGAAGTAGGCACGTAGTGTGCTAGTTATATTTCGAAAGGTAACATAGTATAATAGACGAATCCATGAAGTGTACTTGAGTAGAACTAATGACTTTGACACAGGAGAAAATGCTATGGTACGTTAAATTTGAAGTGGAAAACAACCTCGTTTCCGTTCGGTAGCCACTATTATGACAAAGTCGTATTCGACGAAGTAAAATAATTCAAAATGAAAGCTAAATCACTAAACTGACACTATTAAGAAAGTGATACATGAACTTGTGGTTAGAACTCGACAGCTGACTCGATATGATTAATAATTATTTACCCATTCACCGTACATTGGCATTTCCTTAGTATTTATACATGAACTTGTGGTTAGAGCTCGACAACTGTCTCTGTTAGAGCGCTGCACCGGAATCGCAGGGCCGCCAGAGAGCCAATAGTTGCATTTTTCGCCATTGCTCCTGGTAGGTCGAATATATGTATAAAAATCCCACTCGAAATCCTTTCAACAATAAGTTCATAATACTGATTGGAAAACGGTTGTCACAGAGACCCTACTAGAGACCTTACGATTTAGGACGGCAACGCGACGGCAACGGCTACCAATACAATAAATAATTGAAAAGAATAGAATAATTACAATATATGAATAATTTAGACATTGTCCTGCGCTCTGTTAACAACGCCAAATCACAGATTTTCACGTCTTGATACAACGGCTGCATTTCAAGCCGCAACAAGTGTAACTTCAAACTGGGTTCAGCAGAACTCTTCCCAAACAAAAAACCCATGTCTTCAACTTCTAAGACTGTATTAAATTCATACGATTGATAATATACGACGAATTATCTTTACTACCATTTATTTGAAGGAGTTTGTTTTGCCGTCGTCGTCGCGTTGCCGTCCTAAAATCGTAAGGTCTCTACTATTATCTTCGTTTGCATGCACACTTACTGTGTTGCAGGCCAAATCCACACAGTCGCGACCATGTGATTTGAAGGTAGCCGATGTATAAAGTTTTCCGACATATATTCCGACATATATACATTTATATATATATATTCAGCGAATGATATAATTGTTTTATAATATGGTCTGATTGATGGCCATGAACTGCAGCAGCAATATACTCTTCTCCGTTGCAATGTTTTGACACTTTGTTTAGGCAAGGTCCGCGTTTTTAAATTGGTCTGAAAGTTTGAAAGGTTTTTCTTTTAAAATTCGTGGTGAAGTAAATGGTTATTGCTCACAGAAAAGCGGAGATATTTTATACAGATGTTTGGTATAGTGTAATAAGCACTCGTTGACTGCAAATTAATTTGTTTTTCCTTACGACTTTTTCTGAACAATTTATATTCTCAGTGAACAGGTGGTTTTTTCGCTGTTGTGTCGGTATTAATTCTTTAAAAAAACTTGTATTTCAGTCTTCAGTTTCTATGTAATACATTTTTGACTTTTTTCTTGTACTTTCAGCGAATATTTCCCCTTTTTTTTTCTACTTCGCAAAACTCTTGTAGATTTTGTTCCGCCATCTTGTTTTTCGCCCTCGCCGTATATGAGCTGATATACGGCGAGTAGCTCCAATCAGATTGTGGAATAGCTCATATATAGTGAATGACTATATTATAACAAGAATTATTTACACCTCAGTCAATGTTGTCCGCCTCGGCTTCTTTTGGGCAGATAACGTTGACCTCGGTCTGAATAATTGCCCAGTTTCCTCCAATAATTGTTTGCTATTCGTTATATGTTGTAAAAGTATTATATATTGCTGAAGATGATGATGCGAAATTGAGTTTGAAATATACAGTTTAATTCAATTGTGTATTGTGATTATGCACACCTTTTTCTGAATAACTTTCATTTTATACTTGCTGAAACTATCAGCCTGTGGTCAGATTTGCGTGATTTTCTTCCAGACCGTAATGAATAGGTGTATCCTGTAAAAACTCGAGACATGGATGGTGTTTCTTTTAGGGGCCGATTACATGGAGAACTTTCAACCCCGGGGTTGAACTCGGCCCTGGTAACCGGGTTGAATTTTTTTGCGATTACATGGACGATTTCAACCCCGGGGTTGAACCGCTGTACTATACGTTCTCGGCATCGATTCCCGGAAGTAAAAAAAGCCTTTATTTTGTTTTCTTGTAATAAATAGTCGCGTTTGATTTTGATAGAGTTTTGTATTACAGACAGGACTGAAATTTCAACCCGGTAAACAGGGCTGAGTTCAACCCCGGGGTTGAAAATGTTCCATGTAATCGGGCCCCTTAACTAATATTGATTTTCTGAACCCATATTTCTCAAACAAATTTCGCCTGACCCCCAACCAAGTTCGCTCGCAATATATACGCGGGGCTAACTGCAAATTAGTTGCGGCCACCTGCAAAAAAGTAAATATACAGGCATGGCCTTGAATAGTTTTTGAATAATACTCTCTGTTAATGGTATATTTTCTGCATTCATTGTTTCAGTAAATCAGTTGCAGAAGCGTGCCCGCAGCTTGTCACTACCTTCCGGCAGCAGTAGGCCGTCGAGTCCTGTGTCGAACACTCCCAGTCCCACTTCGTTTGGTTATCCGTTTCCTGGGAACGCTTTCAGTGCAAAGAAAAAGAAACCGACCAGTAATGCATTCGATATCAACAATATTGTCATCCCGTACTCCATGGCATCGACAACCAGAGTGGAGAAACTTCAATATAAGGAAATCCTGACGCCGGAATGGCGGGAAATGACTGTTACGCCGAAAGAACATAGCTCGGTAAGATATTAATACAACACAGCCCATAATTCTTTCCAAAAACAAAGTGCCGGAGTAGATTTACTGGGGGGGGGTCGTACCTCCGCTAGCCTTGGCACAAGGAGAGTCCATTTTTGGCAATTACAAAAAGGCAATTGCAAGAAAGAATTAAATAGACACAAAATGAGTTGGTAAGAAATTGTGAAATTGTCGAGAAAGACTACAGACTGGGGCCTAGCTGCCGTAGCTCCCTGTAATGATTACATAGTATTGTACTGCGGTTACTAATCATTGTGTGGTTTAGTAATGAACTTTAAGGACTAATTGGGGGTGGGCACAGGCAGCGGCGGCGGAACAGATTTCGTTCTGGGGGGGGCTAAATTTTTTCGGCGACCGAAAAATTTTCCGTCGCCAAAAAAATTTCGGTCAGTGTACCACTTTA